CTGCTGGGATGGGGGCCACGAGGGCCACCAATACGGGTTGTGATCACACGGTGTGGTGAGTCAGTGTGGATTTTGGGATGACCAGGCGGTTTGGGATGCGGGTCGTTCTCCGAGGGCGTCTCCGGCGATTGGGATTTTCGAACTCCCAAAACGGTGCGGTCACGAACCGTGTGTCAGTATCATTTAACCGACCCTCACTGCCCATCCGCATCCTGACCCCCATCTCAGCACCCCATTTGTGGATACACCCCTCGAAACTAACAGGAAACATCCGACATTCCCATCTAATGGGGTAAACCGACGGGTTGGGCTTAGGCCACGCCAATTGGGATAGTTAGGCGTCGGTTGCAATGGAAACCCATGCCAAGAAACACCCTGCTTGCCTCCAGGGTGCCCTGGGCGTCTTCGGTATCGTCGGGTTGGCTGTGGAAGCCGTGATGTCCCCACACCAATAAAGTCAGTGGGCGCCCTGGGGTCTCAGGGTTGGGTTTCTTGTGGAAGGTTTCTTGTGGTTGAGCTCATACTGTAAACGATGCTCAGTGGTCAGTCGGGCCTGTCCCTCTACAAGAGGAGCACTCAAACATAGTACAATAATCGTCAGGGGACTACTTTTTTAATTATGTTGGGATTTTGGAGTAGGTTTGGGGCATTATTTTTTGTTTCGTCCGAAATGCCCCGCAGGATGACAGGCCCGACCTAAGCTCATTGCGTTGAGGCTTACCGAAGTTTTTCCGCGCGGTCTGCCGCGGCGCCGCCTCGGGATCTCCCGAGGCGGGTGCCTGGGGGAGGGCGTCCTCGGCGCGCGTAGCGCGCCCGAGGTTAAGTCGGGCATGTCCCTCTACAGGGGGTATCTTCAAACATAGTCAAACAAATAATACGGGGCCGCTGTGTAAACATTTGTTGCTTGACTATTTTTTATTTGTTTGATGGTGTGTCCTCCACAATCCAGTTGTGGGAGGACATGCCCGACCTAACGCTGGAGGCGCCGCCAGGGACGTCCAGCGCCCACCCAAGAAGCGCGTCGAGGACCTCCGAACGTTCATGTCTTGTCGGAGGCCCAGAGGTTGGCAGCAACACTCGGCGATCCTGGTTTCGGTGTTGGTGGTAATGTTCTGCCCTCTTGGGTACTAGGCCTGCCAGATGGGGTCCGAGCAGATCGGGTCGGAGGATCGCGCCGCGTCGCCGATGCGGCTCGATGTGGAGCCCGAATTTTCCTCGCTGACGGCGCCGATGCATCGCCGACGTCGCCGATGTATCGGCGATGCATCGGCGATACATCGCCGACGCATTGGCGATGCGACGCGATCCTCCGACCCCATCTTCTCGGACCTCATCTAGGAGGCGTCTATGGGTGGCCGGGAGAGTACCACAAGTACCAGCATCCAGGATCACCTCCGCCATTTGGCAGAGGCCCCCCCCGTGGTGGTGGTGTGGCTGCACATTTCTTGGCCGCCAGTCTTGTGCTGTTTCTGCTGCCCTTCTGGAGACGTGTCCCCGATGGGCCGCAACGCGTCGAACACGAGCAGCGGCGTCGACATCTTCGTCGTCGGCATCGCCAGGTCGTTCGGGGACGCGCTCGCGGGCGACGTCGGCCGCGCGCCCGCGGCGTCGCTGCTGCTGTCCTTCGCCGTCTACGAGCTTCGGGAGCCTCGTCGAGGGGGCCAATCCTCCCAAGGTTGGGGCGCGCATCAAGGAGCAAGATGATCAGAGGGGGGGGAAGGTAGCCACAGTCTTGCCCTTGTCTTGCTTTTCCCCTCTTTGGGCCTCCTGGGAGGCCCTCGTCGCCACGGCTTGATTCGCCTCGAAGTCCTGGTCAGAATGCACCTCTTGAGAGGTTCGGGGAGTAGCTGTATCAGTACCCTTCTGTTTTTCTATTAGGTTGGGACGTGCATCAAGGAACCATATGCGCGGCGCAAGAGAATGTGCTCGGCTGCACCAGCATTGGCGCGTAAGCTCCCCGCGTAGATTCACTGTGAACTCTCGCGTAGTTCCCGTTCCTTTTGGTCGCTCAGAGGCTTTTTGTTGTCAGGGTCAGGGCTCGAGCTAACTTGCATTCTGGCGATATTTGTTGTGGACCGTTTTCGTGTCTTGACGTCGCTTCCAGGCAAAAGGGCGGAGCGAAGGCAGAACACGAGGGAGGCCGAACACATATCGACACCAAGCACCGTTCAGCTCGAGCTCGTCGCTGCGCGCGCTGCGCAGAGACTCCCCGCTTGCCTTCAGGAGGCTGGTGCCTCCTCCTCATCCTCCTCCTCCTCCTCCCACTCCCCCTCTTCCTCATCCATCCCTTTTCCTTATCCATAACTTATCACTGTCGCACCCCGAGGCAAGTTGTTAGGGCGGGCAGGGCGTTTCGCCTGAGACTTCCTCACACCATTTACGACTCTGAAGCTGAACACATTGCAACCGTTTCACATATGGAGGGCGGTTGTTTTTTTCGGATTGAGGGCGGTTCGTTTTCAAAATGTGGGTCTCGCCTTAGTGCCGCGCGCATTCGTTCTACCAAGTGCCAGAGTTTCACGGACTCCCATGGTCAACGTACCAAAAAAGGTGTTTCTGGCACGATCCAGGATCGTCAAGACGCAACAGTCAGGTTGATCCGTGGCGTTGTAATCCCGAAGCCATGTTTGGCATGCTTCCAGGTCTTCAAGCGGTTGTCTATCCCTCAATGGAAATGAACCGTTGTAGGGACCTTTCGAGAGGGAGCTTGGAGGGAGGGTGTATTCAACATCGTTGATGGCTTTTGGGTTTACACTGGTCCTCTTCCTCCTCTTCCTACTCCTCCTCCTCCACCTCCTCCTCCTCCTCTTCAACCTCGTCCTCCTCCTCCTCCTCCTCCTCCTCCTCCTCCTCCTCCTCCTCCTCCCCCTCCTCCTCCCCCTCCCCCTCCCAGTGACACCTCACGAACGATTTTCTTGTGTTGGATCTTCTGCAAGGGGCTCCTCACAGCCGCGTCCGCATTGTACACACAGTCAGCTCGCATAGCAAGGATGAGCGACTTTCCAAGGTTACCCCTTGCATCCTGCCCCTTCGGCCTGTCCTTGCCCCTTCGAACCCAGCCAGATGCTCACGTTTCCTTTTTCCAGGGGCCGCTGATGACAGATGCGTCCTTTCACCCCACCTTTCAGCGATCCTTTCGACTGCTCCGATTCGATTCGGTTCGATTTCGATGTCTCCCGATTCCGATTCGATTCGGCTTCGGATTCCGAGTTCTCAACTGAGGTTTGCTAGCTTGCCGATTTCCGCCGATTCGGTTTCTCCCGCCTTGGCTGCCGATTTCCGCAGATCCGAGTCATTTCGATCGCCGATCCGACTGATCGATTCTAGGGGAACGAAGAATGACATGAACACAAAAACTCTAATACCCGCGCGGATTTCTCGGATCGGCGCTGGACCCCCCTCCCCGGCGCGCGGAGCGCGCCAGGGGCGGCGCCGGAGGCGCCGCGAGGGGGGTCCAGCGCGAATCCGAGAAATCCGCGCGGACCTCCGAGCTTTTATGTTGATGTCATTTTTCGTTACCCTAGATTCGATTCTGAGCTCTCCTGCCTAGGGAGGCCTCCCGTGCCCCACCTCCACGTCCTCCCGGCGAGCCTGCGCTGCTGGACGCGTCGGAGGCCGTCATCTTGCTGCTCGCCACGTCCATGGTCGCGTGCGGGGCGTGGTTCTCCACGGCCGACCTGCGGCGGGGCTCCCCGCTGGCGCCGAGGCACGACGAGGAGGTCTCGAGAAAAATCGGAAGAACAATCGCCATAAACATACAAAAACGTTAGGCGCTCCGCGCGGATTTCTTGGATCTGCGCTGGACCCCTCGCCCTGGCGCGCGGAGCGTGCCAGGGGCCGCGCCAGGGAGAGGGGTCCAGCGCAGACCCGAGAAGTCCGCGCGGAGCGCCAAAACGCTTCTGCTTACTGCATTTTTTGGGAACAAAAAGCAAGAGAGAACCAAACGGAGGCCCGTGGGAGGCACGGCGAGGCGGCGCGGGGAGGCGCGGCGAGGCGGCGCGGGGCGGCTCGACGGGGCGGTGCGGGTAGGCCCGACAAAGGCGGCCCAGGGAGGCACAGCGGGCGCGACGGCATCAACATACAGTGGAGGCCCAGGCCAAGAGGGACCTCCCTCCTCCTCCCTCCTCCCTCCTCCTCCCTCCTCCTTCCTCCTCCTCCCTCCTCCTCCCTCCTCTTCCTCTTCCTCCTCCTTCTCCTCCTGCCCAGGGTCACTCTTACAGTGGGGACCCAGGCCAAGAAGGGCGCTGCTTGCCTCCAGGGTGCCCTGGGCTTCCTGAGTTTCGATGGCTCTGCTGTGGAAGGCGTGACGATGTTCCCACACCAAAAGTCCGTGGACGCCCTGAGGTCTCAGGGTCGGGCCTCTCGTAGAAGGGTTCGTGTGGTCGAGCTCCTACTGTATACGCGTTCGGATCCCCGCGCGGATTTCTGGGACCTTCGCTGGAGCCCCGGAGGAGGAGGAGGAGGAGGAGGAGGAGGAGGAGGAGGAGGAGGAGGAGGAGGAGGAGGAGGGAGGAGGGAGGAGGGAGGAGGGCAAAGGGAGGGGAGGAGGGAGGAGGGAGGAAGGACGAGGCCGGAGGCAGAGGGAGGGAGGAGGGGGGAGGAGGGAGGAGGGAGGAGGGAGGAAGGAGGACTGAGGTGGGAGGTGGGAGGAGGGAGGAGGAGGAGGAGGAGGAGGAGGAGGTTGAGGAGGAGGAGGAGGAGGGATGAAGGAGGGAGGAGGGAGGAGGCAGGAGGGAGGAAGAGGGAGGAGGAGGGAGGAGGGAGGAGGGAGGAGGGAGGACTGAGGTGGGAGGAGGGAGGAGGGAGGAGGAGGAAAGGGAGGAGGAGGACGAGGAGGAGGAGGTTGATTGCGGCGCCTCGCGGTCGACGGGGGCCGAGAAGGCGGGCCGTCTCCACGGGCGCTCTTGTGGAGCGGCCGAGGTGGCCCAGCACGGGGCCGGACTCGGCCCCATGGAGGAGCGCTTCCTTTGGCCAGACTCGATGCTGTTGTGGATGACGATCCATGGAGAGGAGGCATATTGCCAAATGGTTCCCAGATGTCTAGGACATGTCTGGAACATGCTTCTGAATGCTTGGACCAGACTGAACACATGCATCAGTAATGCTGAATCATATTTAATCCACTGGCAGAACACTGAGAGTGCCCATTGTCATGGCATCCCAACGGTTATACGCAAGGGTGACCTTTCGCCGCAGTGACCTGATGCGGGCACAGATCGGAGCCCCAGATGGCCGCGCGCTCCAGTTCGGCCTCCCAGCGGCCCCCGAGCGTCGTACACCAAGAGGTCCCTCCTGCCCAGGGCCACTCTTACAGCGGGGGCCCAGGCCAAGAAGGACCCTGCTTTACTCCAGGGTGCTCTGGGTTTCCTGGGTTTCGATGGCTTTGCCGTGGAGAGCGCGACGTCCCCGCACCAAACATCGATGGACGTCCTGGGGTCGCAGGGAGGGGCTTCTTGCGGAAGGTTTCTTGTGGACGGGGCTCCATTGTACGTGTAGCCGATGGAACGATCCCAGGCCTGCTCGCGTCGCTAGAAACTCAGGACGGGGGAGGTGCTTCGCAGTGTTAGGGCCCTGGGGTGCCCTCACCGGGCCCCGGGACCGTCAACGGAGAACGACGCAGGATGAAGAACAGACATTGGGGAAAGGGTCGGGACTTCCAGGGGGCGCGCACAGAAAAAGTCAGGACATCGAATGTTTGGCATTAGGGACCACTGCGTAAACACAAGTCGCTCTCCCAGCGCCGTAGCCTCGCCTTGTTACGAGCCAGCCCTTGTGGTTTGACCAGGCCTCTGCCTACGCCTGAGTACACAGAGGAAGTTGTCGGAGTTCCCTGGGGATCTCGGATCTACGCTGCCCCCCCCCTTCTGGGATTTGCGTTGGGGTCCAGCGCAGGTCCAAGGAACCCGCGGGGACCTCATAAAGTTTATGCTTGCTCAGTTTGTTCCCCTTCCAGAGGTCGTCGAGGTCAGTCACTCGGCGGCCATGGCCTTCTGCGTGTTCGGCAGCCTTATGCTCTGCGTGCTCTTCTTTCTGATGGAGCTCGGGGGAGGAAGGCATGAGGAGGATGAGGAGGAGGAGGAGGAGGAGGAGGAGGAGGAGGAGGAGGAGGAGAAGGAGGAGGAGGAGGAGGAGGGGGAGGGGGAGGGGGGTGGGGAGGAGGGGGAGGAAGAGGAGGAGGAGGAGGAGGAGGAGGAGGAGGAGGAGGAGGAGGAGGAGGAGGAGGAGGAGGAGAAAGAAGAGGAGGAGGAGGAGGAGGAGGAGGAAGAGGAGGTGTGCTGAGTGTGCTGACTACATGGGGCAAGGCCCCCTCTCCGCAGAGCGTCAGGCCTACCACTCGGCAGGCTCCTCAAAAAACTCGGGCTCCCCCCTCCCCAGGGACCTGGAGAAGTCCACCACGGCCGAGGGGGAATCAAAACCGTGCAACAAGGCGACCTGCCTATCGTCGAGCTGCGGCACGTTGGTGCCGTACTTGGCCCCGAAGGCCGTAGGAGCACGCATCGACTGAACGTCCCCACTGCCTGCCTCCTGCCCCCACGCGCCTCCAGCGAGGGAGGGGAAGCGGGAGGCCCAGGCCTCGACGTCGTCGCCTGTGGGGGCGCGGACGTCCGTGATCCGCGCCTTGAGGCGTCCTGGCATGAGCCCTCGGCGGAGAAGGGAACGCTGAGTCCGCAGACCAGGGGCCCCCCTCCCACGACACACCCTGTCCAGCCCCTCACCCGACCGAACAATCTTGTGCACCGAGGACCCACAAATTTTACAAAATAAAACATATGGCTCGGGCTCTGCCCCTTCGGCCAGGGGCACGACCGACGCCTTGACAACCGAGTGACTGTTGAGAGCCCATGGCGTCCCAAAGCACTCCTGAAGATCAGGGCCCTCCTCCCCACCCGCAGCGGCAGCAGAAGGGGAGGCACGAGGGGGCGGCGGCGGCTGAGGAGGCGGCAAGGAGGCCGAGGACGCCGTTCCCCTGACAGGAACCACGCCTGGGACAGCCGCAAACGGCTCCACCCCCTCCTCACAAGCCGCATTGGCCAGGCACTCCCACTCGAAAGGGCTGAGCTCGAAGGTGATATCCGAGGTCCCAACAACCCCCTCGGAGTCAACGAAGCCCCCATCAACCAACAACTGTTGGGCCCTCGCATGCCATCTCGAGACATCGTGGGCCATGGCCTCGACCCCCTGTACAACGGCACGCTGCTGTGGGGGGACCGACCACCTTAAGGCACCTTTTTCGCCCAGCGGTCCGCCATCTGTTTGCCGAGGATCAGCCAATCATCTTCAAGGCTGGTGGCCGAGGAGCGCGCACGATGCGCCTTGACCTTGACAACTGTCGCTTGGTGGCCGATCCCCTCCCACCAGCGGACCCAACAGTGCCCTCTAGAATTCATGGGGTCGAGCGCCACGCCTGTATTCACCGCGCACTCAATCGACCCCGCACAGTCTGAGTAAACAGTGAAGGGATCTTCAGCATTCCACTCCGAGTATTCAGCCAAGACTTGGAAGGCTCTGTCCTCTCCGTCTCGCGCCATTTGGTTGGGCGCGTAGCTGAGAGGGACGACTCCAAAGGCGCCTGCCGCCAGGCGTCCGCTCTCATTAATCTGGACAATGGACCACCCAGCACGAGAGAGTCCAGAAAACCGAGAGTTAAACGCGCTGCCGTCAACAAAAACTTTCCCCGAAAACTTCCAGCCCTCGGGAACCCCAATCCAGATCAATTGGTCCTCCAGGTTGGCCTCCTGAATAGGAAAGCAACGGGCTGGCGACGGGAACAGACAACGAGCAAACATGTCCACCACCCCTGGTGCCAGTGCGGTCACTTTTCTGGCAGCTGTCCGCACATGTGGCGGGCATTCCTCGCGCCTGTGAGCCTCGATGCACGGGCGCTCGTAGAACCGATGAAACAGAGTGCCCTGACCTCCGCAAATCAAGCATCGACCATGCTGGGCCTTGCCATGCCTAAAGAGCCGCGCTTGTGGCCAGTGGGATCCACCCACCAAGCTCCTCAGCGCCGCCTTGCGATGCGGCGCCCAGGTGTCCGTGACACTGCGAGAGAGGAGGTGATTGAGAGGCCCCCAATGCAGAGCCCCCCGCCACTCCTTTTCGATCCTAGCCAGAGCAAGAACGTCTGAGGAAATCAGCGCAGCTTCCTTCGCACGCTCCGCTACGAAGCCTGGCGTGAATTCCAGCATGGAAAACTCGAGGCCCTGGAAGTCCAAGGAGAAGGCCGTGGGCGTAGCAATGCCAATGCGCGCCATGCAAAGCAGCACAACCTGACCGGGATCGACACAGTGAGCCCAGGGCTTGGCTTTGCCGAGGAGGTCCTTACCAGCCTCCTAGCAACCCTGCACGGGGCCACGCCCTGGAAGCTCCGAGAGGGCCGAAAGAGCCCATTGCTTCGCCACTTCCACAGCATGCACAACCCAGGGGTCCCTGAAGGAGCCTCTGGGGGACACACGCAATCGAAGGCCCACCGAGGTGCCTGCAGGGAGGCGGCCCTCCGCACGAAGGGCCGACACTCTCAAGTAACTTGTGGTCTGACAGGCCAGTGACCGCACTCCCCCGCACCGCCGTCGCCGTAGGAGACCCCCTCTGGATAGTGCTGACAGCAGCGCTTGCTGCTCTGAGCTGCTGAACTCCCGCCGAGACTCTCTTGTCCTTGGCGATTCGCTTATCTTGCTCCCCCACCCTCCGAGCCGACCCGTCATTAGCGTCGGTGCCCAAGCACCTGGTCCCGATGAGTCGATCCTCATCGCCGAGAGACCACCAAGCGTTGAGCTGTGCTGCCAGCTCTGCAGAGGATGTTAAATAACCAGTCTTGTCCCAGTTGACCCGCAGCCGTTTCTCCTGGAGCCCTCGGACCAAGGCCATCATGGCCTCAGGAAGCTGGGAAAGAACCTGCTCAGCAGTGCCGAGCGCCTGAAGCAACACATCGCCTACTAGATTTTGAAACCTCACCGCGGGGAACCTGGCTTGCAACTTCACGAGTAGCGTGTGCACCAGCAGCTTTGCCAGCGCCAACGCGCAGCTGCATCCCGCAGCGACAGCCCCGTTGGCCTTCACCGCAGGCGCAACTGCTCCCTGCCAGACAGCACGCCGAGGAAGCCTATACGCCGCGCAGAGGCCGCGAAGGAGGGCTAGCGGAAAACCAGTGTTGATGGCTTCCCTTCTGAGCTCCTCATGCGAGATGTATTCGTAATATTTCGAGAGGTCCAGCAGCCCACTGGCAGCCGAAAACCCCTTCAGCCGAGCGAAGCGCTGTAACACATTGTCCACTAGCCCTGACCTGTCACAGGTGTGCCCCGCATCTCCCCAGAAGGCGGCATTCGCTAGAGACTTCTCCCAACGACGAGCAACGACCTGGCGACACCTCGACCACACCCGAGTCCAGAGGGAGAACAGGACGATGGGCTGCACACCTCCTGGGGGATTGGGCTTGCTTAGAAAGAAGACCAGAAGCGCCCAGAGATGTTGATCTTCTGGCGCTCTCTCCCACGCATGCAGGATGTCCAGGAAAGCCTGCCTATGCGAGCCTGGGAGGTATGTCATCTGTCTGGGGTGAAACTTATCCCACCCCAATCCTGCGTTGGCGGGGTAACTCTGGAGCACTCGGTCGAGCTGCTCTAGAGTGATCGGTGGGAGCTCGGCGTACGCGTCAAGCCTTCCAATCGGCGTTCCGCCATCCACGGGCCCCTGGAGGGCCCCCCCGCGGGCACAGGCTTCCACCGGCATCCGCGTCCCAAGTAGAGGGCCGAGAGAACTCCCAAGACGCAGGGTGCGGCTAGCACTCCCGCTCATCGTTAACCCAAAGTGGGGTCCAGGTCTGCATGATCACCTCAAGGGCCTCTTGGCCAGCTACAGGAAGCGAAGGAGCGCTGGCTTCTGCCGCTGTCTCCATGACAGAGGGCTGCATAGAATCACGGACGAAGCGAAAGGCGCAGCTGCCACCGTTAAGAACCGCCGCCTGGGCCCACTCGCGCCAAGCTCCAGCTGCTTCGGCTCTCGAAGCCCTCTGGAGGTTGGCCATGTGTTGCCTCGCAGCTTCCATGAACTGCGAGGCCCTGGCCGAGTCCCCGTCAGCCCGAGACGCGATTAAACCGACTAATTCCTGACGCGGGGTCTGGGCCCACTTGCTGAGCGACCCCGACACAGGCCACGTGTCAAGAACCATGCGGCTGACAACAGCCCTCTGTCTTCGCAGGGCCGCCAGCGACGGGCATCGGCGAGTTCTGGCAGCCGCGCCCAACTCCGACAAGCGATAGACCGCCGAATAAAACCTGGCCCAGGCTTTGTACTCACTACTAGGTTCATTCGCTGTCTTAAAACCCTCGGCGCGACCTCTCCAGGCACCTTGCGCCCAGTCTGACAGGTCATGAAACCCCGACAGATAGGCTTCGGCATGACGAAACCAAGCAGCGCACGCCTCGCCGAGATCTCCAGGGAGTGCCTCTCCAATCGTCCAAGGCCACTCTTCGCCTGAAGCAATCTGTGGCGCAGGCCTCACAGGGGGCGGCTTGCAGATCGGAAACTTGAGCGGACAGACGGGGCGCGTCACGCGCGCCTGTCTCCCCAAGCCTCGGAGCCGAACGTGTACAGGGATGTGCGTCTGCAGCGTCGAGCCCTCAATCGGCACCACCGCGTGGATGAAGCCAGACAGCACGCGCGAGCAGACGCCAAAGTCAGTCTCTCTGCCACCGCACGTTGGTGCACCCGTTGTCAACAGAATCGCTTGAGCGCGCAGGGCCCACTCCTGCACCTCCTCGGGCAGCATGTTGAAGTCCCCAAGCACAATCCACGGCCCAGGCAGTGAACCGAGGTACTCCATGAGCTGCGTCAGAATGTCGATGTTCTGCTTGGTCAGGCCGATGCTCGTGACCAAATACAGGGAGACCACATGCAGCGGCACCGCCAAGCCCACGTTGAGGCGCACCGACTCCACTCTGTGCGATGGCAGCAACAGTTCATCCAGGACCCGTGGCTCTCTGCTGGCTGCCAATCTGCTGAGAACGCTCACACCTCCGCTCGATTGTAGAGGTCCGTCTCCCGTCGAGTCAGCCTTGCGCGCATACATGTAGTAGGTGCGCTTCATGGCCCATCGAATGGCCGATTCCAGCTGAGGACCGCTCTTGATGCGATGCTCCTGCAAACAAAGCACATCAGGCAGGGCCTGATCAGCACCGGCATGGGCCCATTCTAGCAACGTCTGCGCCGACGTCCAGCTTGATGAATTGGCCGACCACAAACTTGTCCCATGCTGCACACCAGCATCCGTGCTCGCTCCAGCTCCACATTGCTGAGGCTCCTCTTGCGCTCCACAACTGCCCCGCATGCGATCAAAGACGCTTGGGCTTCTTGGCAGCGCTGCCGAGGGCCTCCGGGAGCCGCTTGGCCTTGACAGGGTCGTCGACGTCCATTCCAGCCTCCTTGAGACAGGCCTGGATGGCGGGGTCCGCGGGGTCGAACTCAACGTCGACGTCCATGCCTCCTGCAGGTACGTCCACGCCAGAAGCAGCGGCGCCCCCAGCGCCAGCAGGAGGAGCATCAGGCTTAGCAGCGCTGGCTGCCTCAGCCGCCTTCTGCTTCTGCTCCTCCAGCTTCGCCGCTGTCTCTTTGGCCATCCCTGCCACGTCGACGCCGAAGTGCGCGCCCATCGCGTCCAACATTTTGCCGAAGTTCTCCAGCAGCTCGATGCCGCTGTTGATGTCTCCGACCTTGGACTGGTCGGGGATGACAGCCTCCGCCTGCTTGACGGTGATGGCTGCCTTGATCTTCTTGAGGTTGCCTTCGTGCACTGCAAGTTGGGCGATCTGCTCTTCTGCGAACTTTCGGGCGGCCTCGAGTGCTGCTTCTGCCTCCTTGACTCGCTCCCGACTTGCATCAATCTGCTTCTGCTTCCGCGTCTCCCTGCCCAACAGGTCCTGGAGGGACTTCGAGCTGAGGTCTGCGGGTTGGGGCTCTTCCGACGCGGGTGGCTTCTCTGCGAATGCCACCACGTCGTCCATAGACTTTCCCGAGTGCTTCTCAAAGGCACGGAGGATCTGGACAACGATCGCATTGTCAGGGGCCCGTTCCTTGTCCTTGCCTCCGCCGCCACCCTTGGAGCGGTTCGAGCCCCCTGGCTGGTCTCCGCCCCCTTTCGCACTGCGGGGCGGCCCACGCGCCCAGTCCCCCTGGAGGCGCTCTGCCCATGGGGGAGAGTCCCCTGGCCTCCTCTGGGTGTTTTGGGCTCTGGGCGGGCCGATCTTTTCACATTCACGACAATGGGTTCGCCATATGAAGTTGGCATACCGACAGCGGGAGTCGCTGCAGACCCAGGTTTGGAACTGCTTGCCTCCCACAGCATCGCGGCCAACGGACATGGGCGAGAAGAGGAAATCTTTTGGCTCGAGACAGCTGCGCCACTTCCAAGTGCGCTGCCTCAAAGGTTGTGCGTGTTCGAAACCTGGAAATGGCTAGGAGGAAGAGGAGGAGGAGGAGGAGGAGGAGGAGGAGGAGGAGGAGGAGGAGGAGGAGGAGGAGGGGGAGGGGGAGGAGGAGCGGGGGCCCCTCCCTCGTCGCCACGGCCTGATTCGCTGCGAGGTCCTGGTCAGAGCGCTTCCCTCCTCGAGCAGCGGCGAAGCCTCCAGACCCGCCTGTGCTCCCACCACAGAGTGTTCAAAGAGCCTCTTGTGGTCTGCACGACATGTCACCTGACCCTTTCTCGGGGAGACCGTCCTGCTTAAAAACTCAGAGGAGGAATAGGGATCCATATCGCTACCCTTGCCTAGGTTTTCCCTCTGTGGGGCCTCCTGGGAGGTCCTCGTCACCACCGCTGGATTCGCCTCAACATTCTGGTCAGAGCGCACACTTGGAGAAGTGACGTGGAGTAGCGGTATCTGTACATGTTGGTCTCCCCAAGGGCATCGGCTTGCACACCGACCTCTTGCTCTAAGGACATGCCGTGGTGGACTTATCGGAATGCCGGGGCGGTCGGTCATTGCTCAACCTTCCCTTCCCAGGAGTACCTGATCTGGGTGGTCCTGTTTGGCTTCTGCGTCGGGGGCGGGCAGTGCCTCGCCCAGTTCGGGGCCATGATCCTGACCTACTCGTGCCCGCGGCTGCAGGCACACGCACTGACGCTGCCGTTTTTTGGTCGCGCCAGCCGCGCGGAGCTCATCTCCGCGGCGGCTGCGGCCGCCGTCGTCGTGGCCTGGTTCTGCTCGCGGGACAGTGCTTACAGCTGGCCTCTGCAGGAGCCGAAGAAGAGCAAATCTGCGTTACCAGAAATTTTGCTCCGAGCACCCCCCACCCGAGAGCACGACGCAGAGGGATTTGAATGCTGCGCCCCCCTCACAAGCTTCCGGCTGGGAATAAACTCGTCATTCCCCTCGTCACTCCTTTCCTCGTGCTTCTCGCTCTCTCTCCTCGCCTCCTCCTCGTGCTCCCCTCCTCGTTCTCCTCGGTGGTGGCCTCAGCAGTGCCCGCCGCGGAGGGATAATCATAAGACAGCTCGCCGCTTGGGCCCCACCGCCAGGCCAGGCGGGGAACATACATCGGGCGTAGCCTCGCACGGATTCGAATGTTCACATTCCGTCCTCGTAGTATTCGTACTACTCGCATTCTTTCCCGTCCTCCCCATCCGGGTCCTCCTCATCCTCCTCCTCTTCCTCCTGCTCCAGCTCCTCGTCGTCCTTTTCTAAGACCTCGTCCTCGTTTCTCCTATTCCTTTTCCTGCTCCTCCTTCTCCTCCTGGCAGAGGTCTGTCGACGTGACGTAGACGCGAGAACAACGCGGAGCGTGTGACTTTTGTCCTGCGCCCATTGCGCACAGGTATTTGGTATTTGAGAGATCGGCCATGGCAGCTGCCACCAATGGCACCAAGCGCTGACATTTGCAGTGGTGCAGTTGCATGTTGGTGAAAACTACACCATGTGTTGGGTGCTTTGCGTGCGTGGTTCCTTGCGTGACCCCCATTATTTTCTGGGGTCGGCGGTAGAGGCCACAGGCTGCACCTTAGGTTGCGCCATAGGTTGCGCCCTCGGCGGCTGAAGTAGCAAGACCGTATATTGTCGGTTGCGCCATAGGTTGCGCCTTTGGGGGCTTGGAATACATCGGTGTCCTATCGGTTGCGCCGCAGGTTACGCTCGCGGCGGCCGAGGACATAACCGTTTCGTATCGGCTGCGCCATAGGTTGCGCCCTCGGCGGCGGAGGATAAAACCGTCTCCTCTCGGTTGCGCCATAGGGTGCGCCTTCGGCGGTCGACAGTAACACCGTTTCCTATCGGTTGCGCCACACGTTGCGCCCTCGTCGGCTGAGGATAAAACCGTCTCCTGCCGGTTGCGCCATACTCTGCGCCCTCGGCGGCTGAAAGTCTAACAGTCTCCCGTCGGTTGTGCCCTCGGCGGCCGAGAATACAACCGTCTCCCATTGGTTGCGCCATAGGTTGCGCCTTGGGCGGCCGAGGATAAAACGGTTTCCTACCAGCTCCGTTTCTTATCGGTTGCACCATGGGTTGCGCCTCCGGCGGCCGAGAATATATCCATCCCCCATCGGTTGCGCCATAGGTTGCGCCGTCGGCGGATGAAAGCCGAACAGTGTCCCATCGGTTGCGCCATAGGGTGCGCCCTCGGCGGCTGGGAATAACATAGCCGTCTCCTATCGGTTGCGCCATAGATTGCGCCTTCGGCGAAAGGAATCGATCCGTGTCTTATCGGTTGCGCCATAGGTTGTACTTTCGGCGGCCGAGGGTAAAACCATTCCCCATCGGTTGCGCCATCCTTGTGTGCCTTCGGCGGCTGAGAATAACACCGTTTCCTGTCGATTGCGCCATAAGTTGCGCCCTCGGCGGCCGAGAATAAAAACGTCTCCAGCCGGTTGCGCCAAAGGTTGCTCCCTCGGCGGCTGGGAATAATCCGTGCCGTATCGCTTGCGCCATAGGGCGCGCCCTCGGCGGCCGAGAATATAACGTTTCCTGTCGGTTGCACCATAGGTTGCGCCCTGGGCGGCTGGGACTGATCCGTGGCGTATCGGTTGCGCCATAGGTTGGGCTTTCGGCGGCCGAAAACACAACAATCTCCCATCGGCTGCGCCATAGGTTGCGCCCTCGGCGGCTGAAGGTAACACCGCGTCCCATCGGCTGCGCCATACTATGCGCCCTCGGCGGCCGACAGTAAAACCGTTTCCCATCGGTTGCGCCATAGGTCGCGCCTTCGGCGGCTGAAAACACACCCGTCTCCTATCGGTTGCGCCATGGGCCGCGCCCTCGGCGGCCAGAAATAAAGCCGTTTCGTATCGGTTGCGCCATAGGTTGCGCCTTCGGCGGCCGAGAACACAACCGTCCCCCACCGGTTCCGCCATAGGTCGCGCCCTCGGCAACTGAGGGTAAAACCGTCGCGTAACGTTTGCGACCAGTTTGTTCAGGTCAGTTCAGTTCCGCTCAGTTCAGTTCAGTTCAGTTGGTTTGCCTCGCGAGAAACAAATTCGGGCTACGCCGAAAAGTGTTTACCCTGGACAATGTTCAATTGCACGTCGTCAACCAGCCTGCACCAGACATTTTTTTCCAATTTGAGAGGGCGGTGTATTCAAGATCCATTGCGGCTGGTCAGGGAGCGTCATGTTGGGTTTGGTGGCCGCGGCATGCCGTCGTTACTCGTCGAAGGCAGTGGGGGCGATTCCCAGGGAACGCGGGCACGCTTTGGGCCTACCAGCCGAGGCATGCAGGGATAAACATAGGTCATTGTAATCAATGAACTGTCATTCGTAAAGCAAGGTATCGAAAGAACTGTGATTCACTAAAGCGAGAAACGGATGTATTAAATTGTGCCGCCTAATCAAAACAAGGCAATACATCATTTAGTAAACGCAAAAACCGGTTCTCAAAATTCCACAACGTGTTTTCTAATTTTAGGGCCGTTTCCTGGAATCCCAGTGGCTCGATCAATTCTGTGAGCCTAACACCTCCAAGCTGTCGGGTGGGGAACCAACTTCAGAAGTGAGTGCGTACCCCCCCGTAGCGCGCGTCATCTTCGGCACCCTCCCCCGAAGGGCGTGGTTGGCAAATGCTCTGGTCTTGCAGCCGGCACCCGCGTGGGCGGGCGAGGACTTCGGCAGAGCTTTCCGCCGCGCCCCGAGGAGGCCCGACGAGGGCAGCGTGGTGCCCCCCAAGCCCCCATTTGACGCAGATCGCAAACCATAGGGAAACAAGCAATGACATACACATAACAGCTCGAAGGTCCGCGCGGATTTTGTGGCTGGGCGCTGGAGCACCCTGGCGGCACCTCCGTTGTCGCCCCCTGGTAAGCTCCCGCCCCCAGACGGTGCGGCGACCACACCTTTGGTGAGGCAGTGGGGATCCAGAGGTGACCGCACGGTGTTGGCACCTGGGCCGTGTCTCCGCGGATGTCTCGGGCGAATGGGGATCTTCAGTGAAGTCGGGCAGCTATGTCGGGTATGTCCCTCTACAGGGAGAAGGTTCAAGAGCAGACAAACATAGTATGGTGACGAGTCGTCGTGCAATTGTTGTCCTACAGCGAGTCTTCTGGGACTGCTTCTGCGTTTCTTTCGAAATCCGCCTGCAGGAGGACATGCCTGACGGACCGTTCGGCGAAGTCTTTGGGGATTCTGAGGTCACCGCACGGTCTGTCACCGTACCGTTTCGGGACCTCACGCCAGGGATCCAGACGTCAGCACGCACTTTCAAATTTGTGTCGATGCATGTTTTTGTTTCTCTTTTTGAGGATATCATCGGGGTGGGCTTTCTGTGCATGATACAGCGCACGATCCGGCTCCCGAACATGCAGGTCGCCACGGTGCTCCTGTCCGTGATGTTCTTCTTCGACATCTTCTGGGTGTTCCTCTCCCCTTATGTGTTTGGGCAGAGCGTGATGGTGCAGGTGGCCACGGGGGGCAGGACTCGTGGGCAAACGTCAAGGGGGGGGGTAGGCTCATGGGGGACGCACCGACCCCCCATCGCCCATGTCTTACGGGCAGGGGCACGATGGCCCGTTCCGCTCAGGACCGCTCCGCTTCGCCATCGGGGGCCGATCGCGTAGCCATCGGCGATGTGCCGCCGGTTCCAGCTCGATGTTTCCCCCCCTAGGTGGCCACTGAGGGGCAGGACTCGAGTAAGAGAACGCTGCACAAACGGAGGGGGGGGGGGTCCAGCGCTCGAGTAGGGGATCGACTACAGAATTGATTTACCCCAGTTGGTCTTTCCGTCGGATCTGCGGAACATGTCGACTGCGTCGTAGATCTATTGAGTTTTTTCTTTTTCGTGGATTCGGTGCGACAATACATTATGGGGTTATTCAAGTCTGTAGTCGTTCTTCTACTCGAAACGCGATCGGCGCTGCCCCCCTCCTTCCCTGGCGCGCGGAGTGCGCCAGGAGCGGCGCCGGAGGCGCCGCGAGGGGGTCCAGTCCAGGCTCAAGAGACGGTGGTCAATGCAAACAGGGGTCTGTCAGAGACCCAGATCTTGCAGGATCCTGCAGGGCCAGGGGCGCACTGACCTGGGCTTGGGTGCAGGTTCCTGCAGGAGCCTGCAGAATCTCGCAGGATCCTGCAAGGCCTGACCGACCCGGGTCTGGATTGACCGGGGCCCGTCGATCCCCGATCCAACCCAAGGATTCCGCGCGGACCGCCGAATGTGTTTCGTCTCGACAGTTGTTCTGTCGTTCTGAGGACGCACGAGACCGTGCCGATGCTCTTCCGAATCCCGAAGATCAACGACCCCTTCTCGGGTGTTGCCAGAGCTGTCCTTGCCAGAGATGTTCCGAGGAACCCCCCACGGCCTCCAGAGCACCCCTCGCGAGGACCAGAGGGCCCCCTGGGAGCCCAAGGTGGGGCGACAAACTCAGCACCTCGGGCCTGGAACACATCCAGCAACACCCGACCCTCCACTCGGACAACATGCTCGGCTTCGGAGACATCGCGGTGCCGGGGCTTCTCGCCTCCCTGCTGCGGCGGCGGGACATCCTTGCGGGCAAGCGCGGGTTCGCCGGCTACTTCGCGCCCTGCGTCGCCGGCTACGCCGTGGGCCTGTGCGCGACGCTGGTGGCGTTGTCGCTGTCTCGGGGGCTCAAAGACGGCCGCTCCTGGGGCCCTGGGCCCTCCCAGGTCGCGTCCAGGGCGCTACGAGTTCAAGCAGTGGCGAAGCGTCCTGGCGTGCCTACAGGCCTACCAAGCAATGTTCCAAGAACCTTCTGTGGTTTCCGCGAACTGCTCAGAGAACCTTTCTGGCTGGGACTGCCTTGTTTTAACGCATCGGGCGCATGCTCTAAGAATAGTGTTTGTGTTATTCGAACACTGTTGGGCTCCCAGCACATTTCGTGGTAGGCCTGGTAGGACTGCCGGGGCGGTCGGTCCCTGCTCAACACTGGTGCGTATCCCAAGCGCTCCCAGGGGCGCTGCTCCCTGGGACGCTCCACGGCAGAGGCGCCCACCTTGTGAACCCAGCCGCCGCCCAGGGGGCCCCCAGAGAGGGCCCCTGGGCGCCGCAGGGACACTCCGCGATGGGCTTCGAGATTATTCGGCGCGAGCGACTGGGTACGGAAAGAATGGGTACGATGCCCAACAGCAGTTCCTGTTCATTTTGAACAGGACTCGCTGTCCGCGCCGCCGCGGCTGTGTCCGTTAGGGAAAAGGCCGCCTGCCCAACAGCGGCCGCTGTTGGTTTGAGACAACGTTTGTTGTTGGGCATTGTGCCAATTTTTTTCGTACCCAATTGCCGGGCGTCCACAGTTGCCGGGCGTCTTCGTTGGTTCTCGGCGGCTTTCCCCAGCGTGCCTCGCCGAGGGCCTTCATGGGGTGCCTGGCTCGTCGCGGTCGGCCGCCAGAGAGCCGAGTGCCGACCAGGAGACCGGGGGGCAACGACAGAGGAGGATGGGATCAGGGGGGGACAAAGCGACCCCCAATCGCCAATTTCTGGGTCATTTCGAAAACCCTACAGCATCGTGGGCTCTTGGCATGCTAGAAACGCTGAACCATCGCTACGTTGTGTTAGCGTTGTTTGCTCAGTTCTGTTTTAGTTGTTTCGGGGCCGTCGCTGTGAATCCACCAATTTTTTGTTTGCGCGTCTTGCTTTCTGGTCGAAGGTTGTTCCTTGTCTTCTTTGCTGTCTTTGCTCCCGGTTTGTCGTTTCTGCCGCCGATGCCTCTCCCACAGCTAAAAACCGAACGCCAAACAACACATACATACTTTATCACCGGTCGAACACCGATAGGCCCTGCCTCCACTCGGGCTCCTCCTCCCCTCTTCCCCCCTCCACTCCTCCTCCTTGTCGTGGAAAAATGGAGGAGGAGGAGGAGGAGGCTCCTGATGGATTCCGAGGAGTCCACAGGTGCTCCCTTGTTGGGTGAGCGTGAGGAGAAGGCGGAGCAGGAAAAGGGCATGGAGAGGGAGAAAGGGGAGGAAAGGGGAGGCACGCGATATCTGTTCTCCCCATGGTACTCCTGCACGCGAGGCCATATGCGCGAACCCCATGGCCAGGGAACGCTGCGACCACGCGGGCAAGCCACTTCGCCGCTTCACCTCCGGCGCGAACGTTTGCAAGAGGATGCCGTTCTCCTCCTCGTTATCCTTCTCCTCCTTCGCCCTGTCCTCTTCCTCCTCTCTCCTACCTCGTCTTCCTTGTCATCATCCTTCCCATGGCCTCGTGTCACCACCCACCCTGCATCCTTGCCCACCTTTCCCTCCCTTGCCGCATCTTCCTTCCATCCTCAGCCTCCATATTTTCCTCCCCCCCTTTTCCTCCATGTGCCACGAGCGGCGGGCGTCGTCGGAGGTTTGCGCCCCTCCGCGTCCTCGAGACGCGCCTGGCGGATGCGTCGGGGGATGAGTTTGACAAGGTCGTGGTTTCGAATACGTGGTTATGAGGGGGGGGGTTTTGACGGCGCTGGGGGGGAGGTGGGGGGCGGGGCAGGGTTTCGCGCGCGCCTGCGCGAGTGTGTATGGGGGCGGGGGGTGCGGCGGGGCGTGCCTTGGCCCCGATGCGGGGCCCGCAGCGGCCGTCGGGGCCGCGCCCCTCACGCAGTGGCTCTCTGCGTGGGCCGCCTGCTCGACGCACTGGGCGCCCTCTCCAAGATGGGCGCCCGCGAATGCTACAGCGCGGCGCTCTGGGCCCTCTCGCTGTTCCGCCAGCGCCGCTTCTCCGAGGCCATGGGCGACTGGATTGCCGGGGGGGAGAGGGGCGCGGGGTGGGGGGGGCAGAAAACGGGGGTGGGAAGGGAGGGGGGTGCAGGGTGCGGTGGTGCAGGCGGGGGGGGGTGGGGGGCGTGGCGCCGCCGCCTTTGCCGTCGCCGTCGCTGTCGTAGCCGTCTTCGTCGCTCAGTTGATTCGAATTGGCCCTAATCCGGCGGCGGATGGGGATGGTTGATCAGGGGTCCGACGAGGGGCGCGCGCAAAGGGGTGCGCGGCGGGGCGGCGGGGAGGAGGAGGAGGACCAGCTCGCTGGGAAACGGCGCCCCCCCACCCCCCCACGGGCGACAGGGGGGCGCGTCAGAGGCGGGCTTCGATTTTGGTCGGGAGGGGCGGCTGGCCCCGGTGGGGATGACCGATTTTTCCTGCGACGCGACAGACGAGTAGGGAAGGGCGGGGGCGAGGATGCTGAGGAGGACGAGGGCGAGGGCGCGAAGGGCGAGGGTGAGGGCGAAGACGAAGACCAGGAGGATGGTCGCGGACGAATGGCGCCCCGCCCCCCCCCCGTTTACCCCCCCCCGTCATCTCCCGTCCCCGCGTTGGTATCCGCGCCCTGCCCCCCCCGCCCAACGCGCGCGGCGACCGCGCCTCCCCTTTGCCGACCCGCCCCTTCTACGACTCGGGCCTGCGGTCGCCGTCGTCGTGACGCCGCCGTCGCAAACGTTTGATACATGTGTGTATATATATACACACAGAGTTATGTGGTTTCTTCCATATCGTGGCATATCATAACATAGTACACATGTAAAGTTCAATTGATTCATTCGTATTCAGTTATTTGATCGTGCGTCTATAAACCTGTCTACGCGTCGACAACTGCGTATGCCACTATATCAGTGTGTTGTTGCGTATATGATCATGTTTCCATAACGGTTTATAGATCGATGTATATACGTGCGCATGTACAACGTAAGGTATGTCAACACGTTGGTATGTACAATAGTATTTGTGCATGTGTATGTATGTATGTGTATATATAGACCGTAGCGTTGTCACGACATGTTTATGCGCACACACACACATTCGTTTACACGCGTAGGTACACCAACGTGTAATTTCAATATGATACACATGTTTATATATATATATAGATGCATGTGCAATGGCGCTTCGCGTCATGCACCTTGGTCCTTGAAGTTTGGCACGCAGGCGGAATAACAATAATGCAAAGCCGACGCGACGACTTAGCGATACTTGTTTTTTGTTTCTGTTGTCCGGCATCGCCGCTATAATAATGTTATCCGCCATCTTTCTTCCACGTTTCTTTATTCATTTTCGCCATACCCTGCGCATTCCCCCCCATCCTCCTCAGCGCTTTTTTGCGGGGGTTCCTCCTTGGAGAGTCTCTGGGGGCCTCGCAAAAATTGCTTCAAGCTTTTAAAAGGTTTTCTGGAGGCCTCCTGGGCGTATTCTGGGGGCCTTTGGGGGGCTTCGTCGGGCCACGCTGCCTCCAACCGCGGTCTCCCTGAACGACCGGGTCACGTTTTGGAATGTTTCGGGTGGTGTCTTGGGGCGCCGCCGTGGGGTTTTCTGAGGCCATCTTGGACCCGTGTTGTGCTGTTTTGGGGTTCTCCTGGACGCCGTCTTGGAGCGCCGGGAAGCCGAAAAGACGAAAACCCCACAATTCACCAAAACCAATCGAACATCGTTGATGTTTGTCTTTTTGGGTTTTTTTTTGGGAGTGCTCTTGGAGGCCTCTTTGGGGCCGTCTTGGAAACATTTTGAAGTCATGTCGGTCACTTTTGGAACGCTGTTGCGCTGTTTTTGGGGTCTCTGGGACGTTTCCGATGACCCCACTGATCGCCCTAGGCGTGCTGGGAAGGCTTGGCAAAACGTTATGCGAGGCCCGGGGGGGCGCTCCGAGGCCCGTCCGGACGGTCCCAAAGCCCCAGATCCAGGGAGTCGTTTTTTTTCGGGGGGGGTCTTCTCGCCCGGGTTTGTATATGTATATATATATATATACACATAAAAAGGTCCGACGCCCCAGCCAGCAGCGAGGGCGAGAGAAGAACGCGAAGAGCACTCGTATTGAAAATTGAGATATATGGAGAATTGCGCGCCGGGAGCGGCAGCTGAGGACGTAGACGCACCCGGCGGAGCTGAAACCGCCGACGAAAACCCGGCTAGACGAACAAAACGCATGAGCAGTTTTCGATGTTTTTTTGTTTGTGGTTTGTTTGTTTATCTTTGCTCGGTGGGACCTGGAAGCGCTCTAAATATGATGTCCAATGCGCCGAGTTTGAAACGACAAGAAAACGCCCTGGTCATATTCAAGGAGAGCCAATAAGGCCATGCGTCGCCGATCGGGGCCAGATCGCCCTGCTCCGCCCGCGGCGGTGCGGATTGTTCATCGGGGGCACAAGCGGGCCCCCATTTATCGATCCCCCCGCCCCACTGGTAGGCTAAGGCTTCCAGGCTGCAAATTGGTCGGAGATGGATGCGGTCGGTTCGCGTTGCGTGGACTGCCGGCGCCGAATCCGGCGCGACGCGCGCCGTCCGCAGAGAAGCGATTTTGTCCGCTGTGCCACGCCGCTTGTCTGGCTGCCCTCTCTCTCGGCGTTCGTTCGTCGTGCTGCACCCGCCGGGCTTGGCCTCCGGGGCGCATTTCACCCCTTGCGTTTTTTTGTTTTGTGAACTTGCGGAGCTACCCGCGGATGTGTTGGGTCGGCGTCGGGCCCCTGAGGCGCGCGCTAGGGGGGGGGGGGGGGCTCAGCGCCGACCCAAGAAATTCGCGCGGAGCGTCGACACCGTATGTCTATGGAGCTGTTTCTTAGCAAGCTGTGCCGAGGAGAGGCCTGCCCACCCCCGATTCAGACTGGATGTGGCCCCGTCGACCTAGCCCTTGGCGTCGCTCGGTCATGTGCACTTTTTCTCGGTGAGGACCATCGGGGAACATCTGCGGTCAGATTGCGAAGCACACGCGCACGAAATCAAACAGCGCACGGGGAATGGACATCCGAGCGACGGCGGAAGCCAGACCTCAGGCGCCGCGATTGAT